CTTAAGAGTACACTCTCTTACACCGTCCCCCGAGAAAAAGGAGATTTTCACTGCACTTTCTCGCGTGCCAACCGTCTGAAATGTCCCCCGAAACGGTAGAAATCGTGGAGCCGAATCTGCCGTAGGAAAGGGGTACTTTTTGGATAGATTGCAGCATGGATGATTGGCAATGTGTGTGGGATCATTCGTGATGCCGGGTCTGTGGGCGTGGTCGGGAGACGTGTTGGAGGGGATGTCTTAACGCTACTCTGAACATCCAGGGTGGGTCCCTCTCTACCCCTACCTACGCTTATTTGCTCTCAAAATGTGAAGTTGCACTTACGTAACACAGACCTTTCGAGTCCTAACTACGTTGCTAAGGTATTGTGTAAGACTACATTTAAGGGTTAAAGTTTATCAGTGAAAGCACTCTTTCAAAAGCAACCGTGCAAAGTGCCAATGCGGAGCTATTTGTATTTTAACTGCCACAATGCAATGCTGGTATGGATACGGTGGGCCTAGATATACAAAGGCCCAAGTAGGATTTTGTAAACTGAATCTAATTTTAATGGCGAGGTTCCTAAATTTATTCTCGAATTACCTTAATGCAGGAGAAAGCATCGTAGATTTCAAAACTTTCCGGGCATGCGATTGCCCCCAGACACCTAAAACGTTTCCTGAAAGCTAGTTCCACCCCTGTTTTCAGACTCATCCAAATTTTACGTTGAGTGCCCAGTTTTACGGCGGAGTAAAACAGAAGGAAAAACAAACTGTACTCAATTCCTCGCAAATCGTTCAGATAGCAATCGCAGGCCGATCACAAGTCAGTCACATGCTATTCAAACGAACTGTGTGACAAAGGCATGCCTTCATCTCCATCCTCGTACCCTGGATTTTACCTGTACCATTTGTAATTTTGCCTGGTGATGGACTTGCGACAAGACGTTCTGACCATACCCCCCTTGTGGGGTGATGTTCCTTTCAGGACACATCACCCCACTATTTTCACAATAGAAAAACATCACCCCAGAAGGGAATCTTTAGAAAAAGGGATAATGGGAACACAATGCTATCACCCCACAATTCCGTCTGGCTAGACCGTCCGGACTAGTTATAGACGCTGTTCGACGAAGTGGTGACCCATCTCATTTTTGTTATTTCGAGGAAACGCGTGTTTAAAGCTTTGCCTGATTTGCATCAATCTTTTTCATTCATCAAAAATATTTCTATCGACTCGCGTTCTCGAAAGATAATAAATGGATGGTCAGTTTATGTTATATGGTTGATTTTGAAAGGATTGGTGATCCAATAACAAGTTGAAAACAGTTCCAAAGTATGTAGTTAGGTAGGCTACGTCACTTCGTACGATACTGCAACTATGATGCCTTTGCATGCACGAGTCATACGCCAACTGTTTTCATTTGCGGAAATTATGAAGAATTGTATTCGCCCAAAACACATTTTCAAGTTTACCTTACTACAAATGTACCTTGACGGTTGCTCCGTGTAATCGGGACGAAATAGTTGCAGCGCGTTGTCAGAGTATCGGCGGGCTAGGTGGCGCCCGGGACCCGGGGCTGCGTGGTCCGGACAGCGGGGAGGTAATTTGGAAAGTCAAAGAAAAAAGGAGGAAAAATACTGGCGGTGATTAATGACATTATTACAAACATTATTGGTTCATAACAGTACATGTACATATATTAAACAAAGTGCATAGGCCTAGACCCAAAGAAGTAGAAAGTGTTTTTCATCGGGGCCCTGCTTGCATTTTATTGCATAAAAAGACCTGACAGTATCCTAATGCAAGATAAAACAAAGGCTTATGTTTTGTAGACTCCCTCTTGATAAATGATAAAGCTCTAAGCATTGTCCTCGAATAACATATTGGCCTGATACGTCAAATGCGTGTTCGGACATTTACGATTTCCCTAATAATTTTGTTTCTTCTTAAAAAAAATTCCTTGTCTAAAAAAACAGTACGGTTAATTAACAAGAGAAAAATGTATATAACGTCAACGGTTGATTCTGTTCTCGGAGAGTGGCAGGTCTATCAAGGACTCCGGAGCAGTGTTAGCTCTCACCGTGAGTGACAGGCCCTAGCATGCGGGCTTCAAGCCTCGCCGTCCCCGGAGCCCAAGACAGGCTGGCTCCGCTGCTCTCCCGGCTCACTGCAGCGTGTCAAGGGTAGAAGTCAGGCCGTACCCAACGGGGACATCGACCGCCGGGACACGGCGACCCCGGCTGACCCCGGGGTACCAGGGGCATTTTTCCTATAGGCTTGTCAAATTTTTAAGGGATTCTTCGCTAATCTAAGGGAGTATTGTGTGTTTTAGAGATTTTGGTTTGTAAATCTAAGTAAATAGGATGAATGCCTAAAGGAAGACAAACATAAAACTTACGGATGAACTCACAGAGGCAAAGTAACACAATAATTCGTGGACAATCGTTTCATCTCAAAATGAATTTAATTAAGGGGTCACTTGCATGGAACCACTGAGAACACACAATTAAGGTGAAAACATTTGTTTTGTATATAAAAAAGGATACTAGCTTGAATTTGATTAATCATAGGTCCTGCTTTGAGCAACAAATTTTGTGAAAAAAGGGGGGGGGCTGTCTTTTGGAAATTAAAATTTTAACGAAAATTATGCAACTTTTGATTACAGATGACGGACAAAATAATATTTTTTTCCACATGAAGCTATGGATTTTATTCCTAGTGATCTAAATAAATAAAATATGAATTTAGGGGAAAGCAGTGATTTCTTGTTATCACGATTTAAGGAAGTGTAAATAAAAAGTCTATTTTATGGGATTGCGTGTTGATGTGGCCCATTGAGTCGAACAAAATGTCACAAACGTCATCGCCAATATTTCAGGAAAATTTACAAGGGTTCTGAAAAAGCATTTTGGAATGTGTTCCCTCCGTATATAATGCTTTACGATTACCTCGTAATTTATGGCTTTCATTTTGGGGAATTCCTGGCATTTCGACCGCGACTTAACCGGCTCAGGCGGTGGTAGGAGGCAGGCCCCGAGGGGGTGGACACCCAGCGGTGTTCTACCCCGTCAACTCCCCGCGAGGTTTGGCCGGCGCACGGTGGGCTTGTTTTGGGTGTGTCTGGGGGCAGAGCTGGCCCTCGGGGGCTTGGCTCCGAGTGAACCACAGATCGTTGAGGGAGAAGGGAAAGAAAGGAATAATTCGATAGCCCTCCAGGAAACAGGCAATTAGCAATCACCTCAGGATACAATTATAATGTTTGCAAATTTCTGTTTTGTTTTGTTAAATTGGAGCAGATTAATTAGAGCAGTAAAGACAACGATCTTTCCAAAATTGTAACACGCCCAATTGAAGCAATTAAGAGACGCGTGCGTTACTCGAAACCTGTATATATAGCAGGGAGTTGAATTGAGAGTAAATCGCAGAGGGCGCCCTAGCTTCTCAATGTGGTACTGAACGTCAAATGTTTGTTTCGTGAACTTATGGTGACATAATGTTTTGCTTTGAAAAAAATATATCTCTCTCACTTCACACATAAAATAGCCTGCTTATTGGTAGTAATGGCTTTAAGCATAGCGGTTACAAATTATGCAAATGAAATATGAGAAACACTCATAGTGAAACCGTACAGGTATTATACTGTGGTATTAAAGCGACATGTTTTTCAGCCCCCAATGAAATGAATAACCCAAGACCAACAGTGGGAGACTTGATCTAGTTGTAAGCACGCGAACAATCCGGCATGACAAAAAGCCATTGTTTTAAAAGTAATCAAGACCAATCTTTTCACTCAGTTGACTATTAAAGGACTTGATAGGTTACATAGCTTTAAAGGGGCCATGCGATGAATTTTTCTGAGGAACACGATTTGTGCAACTTTCTACTCCTGTATGATAACTATTTGACATCCTTTTATGATTAATTTGATTGAAAAGTGCACTTCTTTAAACCTTGACAATTTTGTATGCGTTTCCTGACAACTGAGGGCGCTGTTGCTGTGATGTCATTTCAGGAATACACTGTTCAGTTTCTACGGGTTTTCTGTTCAAATTGTGAACCCGAATTTTGCTCACTGAAAAAATTGTATGAAAGGGTTGCTAATTGGCTTACTGCCATGTACTTACTCTCTAAATTCCAAAGAGTGAAAATTCACTCCACTCCATTCGAGTGACGATTAACTCCCACAGTCGGAAACTAGGGACTAGACGTTTTAGAGTGAAATTTCTTCAATCGTAAAGATCGAGTTTTCACTCGAGCTTCGACTGAAGTGGTTCTTTTCACAATTTCAATCGAAAATGAGAGTGATTTTCACTCTAAAACGTCTAGTCCCTAATTTCACTCTTTGGAATTTAGAGAATACACAACAACGAGTCACCAAAGAAAAAATTTACGAAAGCAAAATACCCAAAATTCTAGCAACTGTTTGTGTGCTCAAATAGCTGTAACATTTGAGGTTTCTGCCCGGAATGACATCACAGTTTTTAGAATATGGAAATTTGCATTCGCATGAAAACCAAAAAGGCACCAAACTACCCTTCAAAATGACAAACGAAAATGGAAAATGAGGTTAAATGGGACACAAAGTTGCATTTTCAAGGATAGCATTTTAAAAATGACACTGCACGGCGCTTTAATGAATAACTCTTATCTTTCCCACCTCTTATGCGCTTCCTGAAATGACATCATAGCAACATTGCACTCAGGTGTCAGGAAAAACAAACAGAATTTTAGGAAGTTCACTTTATTAACCAAAAAGGGATGTCGAATAGTTTTCAGACATTTAAGAGGAGTAGAAAATTGCACAAAATGTAAGTACATGGCAGTAAGCCAATGAGCAACCCTTTGCAGTGTTTTCTCAACATAGAATATATGTAATTTAAAAAATATTTCTTTATATTTTTCTGATTTATTTTTTCATTTTTCCCATGTGGCCATGCATCCTGCCGTACATATCCCAGGTTCTTTTGTCAACTTTTATTTTAAAACATCCATATAATAACAATAACATAACATTTCATTAGGGGTTATATGCCTTTATTGTCAAGTTTGGATTCACATTGATTTCTAGGGCAAGCGTCGGATTTCAGCAAATTTAAGCAAGGTGTCAGCCAATGGTATCCGGAAAATTATCAATAAATTATATAATACGTATTAATAACTTAAAATAAGATCAACAATAATACCAGAGGCAATTACTAAACCTTTACCTTAATTTTTTTTTCAAGGTGATAATCTTAAAACAACTTAGTATTCATCAGAACAACTGGGGTCGTCATAACTTAATTCTAGTAAATGCATGGAATTTCTACTACGCACACAAATGATTACACTTACATCATGCAGTAACTCAATACAATATTTTAGCCAATTTACTACTCAAAATATCAAGGAATTTCCTTTTAAAATTAATAGCAGTCGACCAAAATTTAATACAATCAAGATATTTTGTGCAATATATTTTCTATACACAATATATACATACAAACCCTTTGCATGCATGCAATTGCAAGGCTGCGTCCAAAAAGGGCCGTTTCTTGTATTTTTTTCACAGCAGCATTTCGGTGTCAAAAACCGAAGCCGTTGCCACAACTAAAAACGACCGATTCGAATTGGGACTTGGACTTGAATTCTTAAACGCAATATTTCTAGTGAGCACATTTACCAATGACTTTTGATCCGGTTGTTTGCCAAAGTGGTAACATTTTTTTTTAATTTATAAACCAATCCGTTATTCCGTAATGTCACTAGGCCTACATTATCTTTGCTAATTTGTTTAATGAACCTGAATTCAAAGCGTCTTTTCCATCCACCCACACACTGTGAACATTACAGGTGAACTAAACAGATCTAAATAAGTACCGTACCACATACGTATATGCAATATACATGCAAACTATACTTAAATTCTGTGTAAATATTATGTACTTCATTAAGTGATTAATATTATTACGATGTTAATAATTTGTGAAGTATAGTAATAATTTCTGTTTACAACATTTATACGCCAAACACAAAATCCACGTTGGATTTCTCCGCTGGGCGAGTGGCAAAAACGGGACATTACAAAAAGACTATAATAAAAAAAAAGTATAACAATCACACGATCATTTTCCATTTAATCCTCGATTGCTGATAAATGCTTTTGATACCTGCGCGATGGATCGATATGGTGTTCAATTCAAACGCACCGCCAGGAACCTGCTTTCACATCCGATTGGGTTTGACTCCCCAAGAAAAACAAAACTAGGAGAGAGTTTAAAAACGACCCTTAAAGATTCATATTGTCAAATTTATCGATAGAAGGATGTAATTTGTCATCCTGACAAGACAATTACACTGCAAATACTGTGTTTAGCAATTACAAACTTTTCTAAACACTTTCTTGCTATCACTTTGCTAACATGTTTAAATACTAGTATTGATGGATACTGTTTAGCAATTGGGCACGTAATTTTTAGCTTCTAAACATGTTTACAAAGTGATATAGCAAGATTGTGTTTAGTTGCTAAACACACCTTTTGGAGTGTACTTGTTCAGAGAAGATAGCAAGGTTTTACCTAGTCCAGATGTCATTCCACGAGGATGTTCGAGCGCGAACTATGATTAACTTTGGCTTAAGCGCAGGCGTAACACACTTCACGAATCAACCACTAGTTGACCACTGGTCCTCGATCGAACTTGCCCTTTCTACCAAACAGTAAATTGATATGAGCAGTTAAATCCTGTGAAGTCATTTTCCCCTGTATTTTATCTCTTCGGTATAATGTTGTATTTTCGGTGAGAGATCCACTGTAGTAAATCACTGTTCTTTTTTATATTAAAAAAACCCCGAAACTTGAAAATTATTAAACAAATAACCAAAACACAACGCGCACTTTTACTCTGACAACTTCTGACTGGACATTTTTTTTTCAGCAGTCAATGTGACCCGCTCTGGAAAGTGAAAAAAAAAAGTAAGTTCTAAAATAACTTGATGCGTTCACACTTCTTGCCCGTATTGCCACAGTTGACTCTAAAATTGTCAAAATGTTGGAAAGATTGGCTTTTCCAACGGTTTCTAAACTTTGGCTATTGCAGAGCAGAAACTAAGACCTAGTTTGATTTGGAAAAAAATGGATGAATTTGTGACAAATCAGATTGTCAAATCTCGTTTAAAAAATACAAATGTTATTCCTTCAACGTAACTGGCCAACTGTCCCACCGGTCAAAAGACCAGTCATTCATTTCAGCAGAGCGGGTCACATTAAACATAATACATTTTCGTCACCTGTTTCATGTAGTGCATTCATGTGAATATCAATATCATTTTCGTTGTGTTATTTATCTTTTTTACCAAAATGTTTCGATTTTAAAAGAGAAAATGATAGACACATGTGTAGTGAATCCCAGTTGATGATGAAACATGACATTAATATTCACATAGGCCGGATGTCATCAGTGACCTTTGACACGAGGTCAAGCCTCCTACATGGCGGGGAAACCGGAGAGTCTGGGTGCCTTCTTAGCAACGAGGCTATCGATGTACGGTTGGTTGTCAAGGTAAGGATTGAAACGCTGAAACAAAAGGAGAAGCAACGCCTGGGTTAGAGCAGTTTAATAAAACACTCTTTAGTGACCAACAAATAGACATACCATTCAGGGGTTTCAAATTTGCCGACTAAGCGCATGCGCACTGCACCTATGACCATCATTGGTGGCATTGGGGTACCCACAATTCTTCCTGTGTATCCTTCTCAATATTTATGAAAGCGATCAGCAGTCACCAGCACTCACCGGAAATTGTCCGTGAGTATGAGCGAAATGCCTAAAATTATACTTGAGTTGTAAGTCTGACATGGGTATGAGGCTATAGGCCTTTCTTTCGTTTGTAAACATTGGCGCCATTTTGTATGGGCTGCCGTAAACGCATAAATTGAAGCCGTGGTTGGCAACATATTTTTCCAAACAAGTCCTCATAACGACATCAACACATAGTAAAAAGGCATATGTAGGAATTATTTTGTAGCTTTGTTGAAAATGTTGTATTTTCAAGTATCAAATAATATTTTTGTGATCTGTAATGACTCTTCTTCATTTTTGCAGTGTTGGACCTTCCACAGTTTTGCAGGCCGTGGTTGGCAAAAATGCCGTTTGCCAACCAAGCGCAGAAATGTCTATGAGTTCCGTGCGTGAACAAGAGAGGGCGCATTTTGCCTAGCAACGGTGCTTCTTTGGTTCACGCCAGACTTGTATTACTCGTAGCTCGGACTTAGACTCGGACTCGAGTCCGATTCGAGTCCCATTTTCCGTGACTCAGACTCAGACTCGAGTCACGATGATTTAATGACTCGTACTTGGACTCGACGCTGCGGACTCGGACTCAACCTGCGTGATTCGGGACTCGATCCAAAATACCAGAAAACAATAAACATGTAGGCCTAATTACAAATTATTTTGAAGACGATCATCTCCTGAGCAAGCGATATATCTGTGCAGAAGAAAGGCATACTTTCATAAACGTGAAAGTGCTGGTCAGTGGACAACAACCGTCATACGTGGGACTATGAAGTCTGGGGAAAAAATCAACCTTGTCAGTCGACAAAATCTGTGTACGTGGAATAGATCAAATATTTATTATATTAGTCAAATAAAAAATACCTTAAATGAGTACTGCATAATGGACAGTAAATAAACTATGTGTATATATTTGTATATGTGTGTAATTATAAATGTATCAAATTCAGCAACACAATCTGTGTAGGGCCTAGTTGGAATAGATTAACTTATCTATCAGTCAAATAAGTACTGCATAATGGACAGTAAAATATATATTTGCATATGATATATGTATAATTTCGATTACAGAACTTAAGCACCTGCTATTATCCACAATTATCGGTTACTTATGTAATACATTCACACAGCAATAAAGCACTGAGCTATACAAAAATGTCTTGATCACCGAATAGTTACCAAAATATAACGTATTGAGATAGAATATAGGCAATAATAAACCATTGTTTAGATTAGAAAGCCTTGCAAAGTCTTCTCATTAACAATTTAGTCAGCCTGTATCATTTAATACATTCTTTTATGAGTTGATCAAGGGAACAATTTAGTATGAGCCTACAATACAATCGTAAGCCAAGACAAGTGCCAATAATGGCGGATCTAGGGGTCATATCAACCCCCCCCCCCCGTTTCCTGAGAAGTTAGATGCAATAATTAATGCTAAATTGCATTAAGCTAAATTGCATTAAGCTGTTCAAAACCGACAATTATGCACACAAAGGGCCAATATATGGTGCTTTTCAGGGCGATACATGTGTGAAATTCTGAAAAAGGCACCCAAAACGGCAGATGCCACAAAAAAGGGCACCACTTCTTTTTTGAAAAGGGCACTTGGTCAGAAAAAAAAGGCACTTCTTAAAAAAAGGGCACTCTTTACAAATTATTGGGGGGTAAGCCCGTTGAAAAAAGGCCATTTGAATGGAAAAAGGCAGTCTTTACAAAGTATTGGGGGGGGGGAATACCCCCTTACCCCCTCGCTGGTTACGCCTATGTATTAGCACCATAATACGTGTGGCTGTTCTTTTCCTGTATAACTAGACTGTCAGGCAAATATGTCAGTCTATTTTTACTTACACCCCCGTTTACTGACGAAACCCGTGTCAGTTAACAACGTGTGTCACGTGCGTGCAGGCATACTAGGAATAAAATTATTAAGTTTGGCCTCCAAACTCATTGTCATACTTTTATGACTCCCATAAGAAAGTATCAAATTCCTAGGGCAGTAGTTTTGTGTCAAAACTTTAACAATTAAGGGTCTGCGCTTTTGAGTGTTACTGGTTTCTATTGAAGTATGTTTTGTAGGTGAATACATTTGGCACCCCCACATTCCTTTACAACACGGTGTGATTGAATGAGGATCAAAAGTAAGCCCACTGCCTTACTTTCTAGTTGAACTTAAGTTAAACGAGGTCAGGGCCATAGACGTTTAGTGTTGTATCAAATAAAAAACACTCCAAATCTTTACCCCACGAGGAAATAACAACATCCGCAAAGTTGCCGTGTTTGTAGCGGCATGGCAGTATGAAGGATCGTATTGTGTAACTGGATATGGAGCAAATTCACACACGAAAACAACTGAATGAGAAGCATATTCTGGTTTGGTGTGGAGTGGTTTCTAGAACTCTAGCTATTTACACGTTTTATAATATACACTTTAGGCTACACTGTAAACAAAACCCGTAAAAACACTGTCCATTTCCTGTAATTGTTACGGTTTCTTACCGTCATTGCTCGAACCATCACAAGAAAGAATGTAGGACGTGAATTTCCCGTAAAACTTGGTGCCCTGACGCAGGCTGGGATTTACAATGTTTTGTATTCGTAACCTTTCAAAACCTCTCCCCTTTCAAAACTGTGATTCGTATATACACACCTGTAGTGCATAGGCCTACACGCAATGTTCGCTACGTGTTTAATACATACAAAGCTGATAATTGTGCTGTCAAAGCTGTAATGCTTGGATCAGGGGTGCATCCAGGGGTTAGCAGCATTTTTTGGAATTTCTTTGGAGAAAAAACACATTTTGAACAGAGCTGGGGGGGGGGGGTTGAACCCCCCCCCCCCCCCTCGGCGCCTGTGGATATTGCAGAATTTGGAGAGCCAAGCAGCTAATCATGCGGTGTTGACCAGCAATAGGACGACCCCTTTGTGGGATCAGTAAAAAGTAAGTTGTCATTACATAACAACTTACAGATGCTAAGTAAATTAAAGATAAATTCACCTAATATGATATGAATACCACTATATACGCGTATAAGACAACAGCTCCGTGTAAGGATCTGCTTTTGGTGCACTGAGATTCTTCTCGATGAGACTCTTAAGATGTTGGTGTCTGATGATGAGGAAGACGTTGATGATTACAGAGCTAATGGCGATTACGAGGATGACAGCGTAGGCAGCAAACCAAGGAATGACAGATGCTTGAGGGTCAAGATTGATACAGGGAGTTGACATGCACCGTTCACAAAAGGACTCTTCGGTTAGATCACCGGTTATCGGCGTATCAGTTGACAACTGTTGCTGTTCTGTCCCAGTCACCTGTTTATCAGTACTTGCACGAAGGCGAGCTTCTGTCGTCGATTTGACAGACATTGTGGACATTCGAGTTGTGGCACTGTCACTATTTGATTCTATCACACGGCAATAGTAAGTACCGGTGTCGTTTGCACTCAAGTTATAAATTGTTAGGATTTCAACCCTTTCTGTCTGAGACTGACTAAGTAGAGTAACTGAGTATCTGGATGAGTTGAGGGTCATCCCATTCCTGACTATCTTGACCTCATGAATCACAACAAGCCTCGACCATTCCATGAAATTTCCCGGCTGCAGTCCGTACGTTTCACACCGCTATTGCACCGATTCACCTGCTGTAGGATCACCCGATGAAAGTTTAGATAAAATCACACTTTGTCCGTTAACTTCGATGAGTGGACTGGTACCGAGAAAGCACCAAACACACAACAAGGACAGCAAACAAGATCCTCGATCCATGGTCAAAGCAGAATTTTTAACAAATCAAAGACGAGTTGTTTGTACTCGAAAATCACAGATAGAGCAGACCATGTAGTGTGCTGTTGATTTTGCAGTTTGAAATTTGTAGTGAAAAATATGAATTTTGTAGTATATATTGAGCTATATGCACTGAATCCGATCGGCGAATAACTGTTTCCGTGTTGAACTGTCCGTGTTGAAGTTGCCGTCTCATGACTGCAAAAGAGTTTGTGAAGTGAACCCTGCAGTTTAACACCGCCATCTGAGGCTAGGCTACGTTTTAGATATGCAAATCATCCACTTAACCTATCGCGGTATAGAATCGTGTCAACGCAGCTTGCGAAATATTGTCCAATTACATGATATACAAATGGACGCGGCACGCGCGAAATTTGAGACAAAGAAAACTTAACAACACCAATTACACGATATAAACCCATCACCTGCTACTTGCGCTATTGAATCAGCATTCAGGAAACAAGTTCCCATCCCAGGGCTTATTATTGGAAACGAGGTTGAAAACAAAGTGGGCCCTGGGGACGAGGTTGCTCGTGACTCGGACTCGGACTCGACCTGCATGACTCGGGACTCGGACTCGGGAGTGGTGACTTGGACTCGGACTCAGTCGGACTCGATGTTTGGTGACTCGAAAACAAGTCTGGCTCACGCACGCTCTTTCTTATTTATTTAATTCTACGTAATACCAGGGATATGGGTATGCGTGGAGACTGTTCCCGAACCTTTTGGGCTTTCATGTGGCTCTGACTACGAATATAGTTACGGAGATGGAAACCAGTTTTTAGAGGCGGGATTTGGGTCCAGGCCAGTAAATAGCCCCGAAATTGCCTACACCGGCCAAATCACGATTTGTATGCCCTCAAATTCTTCGATATTAGAGCATTTTGTGTTCATGAACTTGAGGGTTTGTAAAAAAGAAGGGTTGAAGCCGTGCACATGACTACATTCGAACTTGTATTTCAGTCTGTGAAATTTGGATGAAATTGGGCCCTAAAAGCGTTGTATTTTGCAATGGACCGCAGGCATCGTTTTTCAAAATGGTTATGGGCTTCGGGACTACATGTGTATTTGTAGGGATGATCATCTTTGGATGGAAATTCTCCCAAAAGTCATGGGATTACCCAAAAAAATTGAACAAAAAATGGAAGATGATGATATAAGCTCTAATTTGATGTGTGTCTTGAACACCTCGGAGATTTGTGAGTATTTCTAATAATTTTGGGAAGTGCGCGTTATTACCACTAAGGTCTATGGCAGTCTATTTACTGGTCTGGACCCTATTATGTTCAATATTAAAGGGAATATACATCATTTGCTTTTGCTGTAATTTTCAGAAATGGGTGGAATTGGGGGGTCGGAAATATAAAGCAAATATAGTTACACTAACTTTTTGGAGGTTTTGGGTTCGAAAATGCTATAAAAACCAAGAAAAACGATCATTTTCCTGTAGTCTGGTTCCCTGACTCCATATAAGAAGAAACAGAGCAGTTTACATACATTGGGGGAATTGTAAGGTCAGGGAACCAGTCTAGCTGGCTCGTACCCGTTTATAGGTTTGTAATCGATTGCAAACAAGTGCAATGGTCAATTGGGGCCAGTATTTGATAAAAAGCCAGTTGTTTCCAACGCTGATCGGCCGATCAGCGTTGGAAATTGATACAAAAATACCACTTTTCTTGAAAATGACAGTATACCAGGTGCCATAATTTTACAGGATGCTTTAGACTGTCATTTACCAACATCCTGTTAAGGTATTTCGCAAAAACTTGATAGTTTTATTTTTCGTTGTTTGCAAATGTTGTATATTCCCTTTAAGCAAGATGGCGCCCGATTAAAACCGATTTGCCTCTCTCTTTTTTTACTGGTGGGGGGGGGGGGGGGTGGGGGTACTTCTGCACAAGACAAATAGTAGGCCTCCATGACTGTTTAGGGCCTATAAACATTTTAGTCCATCATGAACTATCTCTAATCATGAAAATGTGGATGAAATATGTGATAAAAATTGTACGGAGATGTTTGTTTCATAATAAATGAAATCACGCACCTTTGTTCCAGATCGTCTAACTCCCAGGCTCTGAAAATTACGAATAATAATATTTAAAAAAACACCCAACATTATTGTTAACGTAGACAGAGGGCGATGTTCATTATTTTGGATGGTTCCCATTTTATCAATTCGTCAAAATCAGTTTCGATCACCACAAAGTTTCAGTCCTTTGTGTTTTGACAAATACTCTACACCACATTATCACCGTTCAGTTTATTTAGAAGTTTAATCTTCAAAGCAAAAACATATTGAGTTTAAGTTTTGCACAAAGCATTTACTTAATATTAAGTCAGTGAAATCAAGCGAAAGACAGGCGAATGTGCAAGAAGAAGTCAGAATAGAGGGTAGCCTGGCCATACAACATTCCAAACTGAAAAAAAAATGAGGAAACAAAGAATGAAAAACAAAGCAAGCACACAAATAAACAGAGGTGAATCGGCAACCAAACAAACCGATCATACCAATCAAAGGTTGAAAAACAAAAATCATATACGCAGCAAAACAGACGAACAGAACGGGACAGACTGGCAAATGAAAGCACACATATTTTCACAATTTTAAAACCGGCGAAGCCCTCAGCAAATCCAAGAGTTAAGGACTCACTCGTTTGGCTATGATCTCGGGAGACTTCTTGGCCACGAGTTGACCTCTCTTTTCACCCTGACTGTACTGATTCTGAGCAAAACGAACCAGACAAACATAATAAAGCCAGTAAGTCAAAACCCTATCAAACACCCCACTAGAAGTTTGCTTGTTCCAGAGGGAGCAAACATAATTAAAGTCTTCTTTGCCCCAATCTCTCTGACTGATTTCCTTACTCACCGACTCATCGTTACCTGTGAGCCGGACAGTGCTATCGTATATGATTACCTCCAACAACAATGTACAGGGTGTCCCCTGTGCAAGCAGATGCCCTTTAATTTTTCAAAAACTTCTTAGCATGAGTATTTCATATTGATGGAGCACATTAATTGTACTCTTGTGTATAATCAGTGGAAATGTATAATCAGTGGAATCTAACAGATTTGTAAAAGGCTATGAGTTATTCACCCATTCCAATGGGATTAACACAGTTAGTGATATCAGTGCATCAGATTGTCATGGGCCTTTTCACTCCGATGTAAATTAAGTCAACTGTGTAAATCCCATCCCATTTGAATGGGTGAAAGCCTTTTATAACCTGTTAGATCTCTGGTTTGCATGAACGGATTTCGATGGCATTTTCACTGACTTATACACACAAGTGCATAATTAACATGTTCCATCAAGATGAAATACTCATGTTAAGTAGTTTTTGAGAAATTAAAGGATATCTGTTTGCAAAACTTTTTTGGACACCCTGTACATGGGCTATATGAAGTTCGGCCCATTGTGTACACAGCTACAGGTGCATGGAACGATTACCAGTGAACAGCCGTGCTGTATTAATTGAGAAGAATGTTGTGGGCTCTGGCACCGGGTCTACAAGGCTGGCAGACAGTCTAGAATTGCCTTGCCTTTTGTTTTAGCAAAGTTTTCGCAAGGCTTAAAATCCCTCCCCCCCAAAAAAAAAACCCACCCTATTTCCCCTGAATCATGCAATATAATGCTTCGAATTGTAAAGCGTATACTGCTAGGATCGTGTGACTCTCCTGAAATGTCCTTAGTAGAAGCGCGTCGCTGATAATTGCATGGCCTTCAACACTATATTTGTTTTAAGATATAGGCCTACACGGGGCCTACATCTACCAAGTAATGAAACACAAAACAGAAATGAATGAGGGAGACAGATAAAAACATTCCTCAGACAGTTGCACCTATACGTACGTATACATTGTATGGATTCTATATATCAAAGATATAACTTGTGATATTCGATGATTGTTGTCAAGTCAACATTCCATGCATCTCAATCAACCAAAGGGACAAACAGACGAACAGATTGACAAACAAACAAGCTAATCGGGCACGGGATGCTTCCAAACTTCTCTTGTTCTGGACTCCGCGAAAGGATCGCTGAGTACCGGGTCTCTCACCCTCCCCTCTCCCGTCATCTTACCCGTTTGAACGGCATGTACTGCTGCTCCTGGGCCTCACCGGTCTGCTGGTACTGACTCACGAAGGCGGCAGTGTTGGACATGGTAGCCAAGCAGCAATTTTCAGCTGTTGAAAGGTCAGATTCAAAGCTCGATCCCATAAAACTATTTTTTTCTGGACCATTTTTTCTAATTAATGCCTTGTGGATTAAGATCTGTTCAGATCTGGGCCCAGTTGTTTTTGTAAGGGAAACACAGCTGAAATATTGCTGAGTATGTTCCCATCAAATAGGCCTACATCAAAATATGTTCCCATGTAACACACGGACTATAGTAACCGGCTTTTGTGCGGAAAAAAACATAGGTCAATCCCTTTTTTTGCCACAATTTATTCAACAATAACAATCAGCTTTTTCAACATGACCTAAAGATCAGGAAAATCCGTCTGATACGCGGACATAGGGCCTAATGCAAAAAATCAGGTGGTCAGACCAAAGGATGGATGGGAAGGCTACAGTAGGTAACCACTGAGTCTTATGTCTCACCAGTTTGCATTTTTTTTTTTTAACACAATCCAGAATTTCGTTCCTGAGTTATTTAAAACAATATCGAAAAGCTGTTCAAAAATTAAGCCCTTTGGCCTGTGTATGCGTTGACTTCATGACAGTGTCAACAAACCCACTTTGAAAATTGAAAATGTTTGGATCCTTCACTGAGGCGATCACACATTCTTACATTCAGTGCAGTCCAGGGTTTCCGCTTCATCGTCCTGCCATCCATTCTCGCAGAAACACTTCAGCCGGGGGTGAAGGGTAGACTTCACGCTCTCCTTGTCTGCAAGACAAGAGGGGGATATTGCTTGACTGAAGCTATGGACTAGCGTGATCGAGGGCGTGTTACACATGATCAACATACAGCAAGGCTTGGGAGTTAGATTGTCTTTTCTTCTCAGTTGTGGCCCCTGTTGAATTAAATTATTTTTCAGCATTGGACGAGCATTTCAAAGAGGCACTTCATGAAAATTGGCCAACGATATGTTGCATATTGACGGGTTCCAACAAATCTTGAATTTTGAGGATTCTGCTCCTATTTCTCCTATTTTTGTGACTGACAAATTGAGTATTCGGTGTATGTTACTTTGTGTTACTTCAAATACATGTAGAACTTTCCAAACTCGTCAGGGGAAGCAAAAACACGACATACCTCTTTTCCAGCAGAGCAAAACATAAGAACTTACTCCTGTTTACATGGGTTTTCAAGACTGTCAAGATTTGGAATCGGTTACCGATACCAACTATTAATCGGATTTGATGCTGATTATAGCCGCAGCGTCTCGGGTCTTTTCTGTCGGGAGCGGAGCACATTGGCCCAATCACTTGATGGAAACTTGACAACGATTAAGTATTGTTAAAAGTGGTTTTAAACTCGTTGAGGATGCGGCATCTGACCTTTCTCGTCCATCGTCTTGGGGCAGGGGTTGGGCGGAGTCGAGTAGCCAGCGTGGACCTCCGGTATAGCCACCTGTTTGTTGGGGATCTTCCCGGCTGATCCAAGGTGTTGTTTGCCTTCTCCTGCTCCACCTGGTTGGGAAAAGTGGATTCTGTAGTGAAACTCCCAAAATGTCAGACGTTTACTTGAGTCAATCACAAGTAGCAGGGGATGAACGTGACAAAGGGCTGCCATTGTCACAGCTCATTTGGAAAGCTCGTTCGTTGACTGGCGATTGGATAACTAATGAATTGTGATTGACTTATGATTGAAGTATGATTGACTTGTGATTGACTTATGATTGAAGTATGATTGACTTGTGATCGATTTGTGATCGACTTGTGATTGACTTGCGATTGACGTATGATTGACGTATGATTGATTTATGATAGACCTTTGACGGACTTGGGGTTGACTGGCGACTGATATCTCAGTGATTGCTATTATTGTCTTGTGTCTGACTTGTACGATTGGCCTGTGATAAACTAGTGATTTAATTGTGATTGACTCGTGTTTTACTTGTGATGGACTCATGATTTACATGTAATTGACTGGCGATTGAGTTGTGATAGAGTTGTGTTCGACTTATGATTTACTTGAGATCATCTTGTGACTGGCTCGTGATTGACTTGATCAAAACTTGCTCAATGCTCTCAAATCATTTCTCGGTCAAATAAAACTCGACCGTCAACGCGTCATGCGTGCGAATCAGCCGCATGCACAAAAAAATAGCATAAATATACGGGGTACAACAGGCAAGGATCGATTATTTTACCTGACACAAAGGTGTTGGGCGGAATGATGAGTTTGTTCATGGCGGCGCTCTCCTCCCTGGTTGCCGGGCCAACCATGGCATCCCCGACGTCGCCTAGCAACGTATCCCTCAGGTAGCTGCGCAGGGCCAGTCGGTCCGAGGAGCTGAAGGGGTAGGCGCCGCAGACCAGAAAGAGGGCGCTGCTCAAGACTGAGACGACGAGCGAAAGATTCATCTTGGTCACTGATGACAGAAAAAAGAAGAAGACAGGAACCCAGACGGAGGTTACAGATCCATTGCAGTTATTATAGAGCAAGTTGGGGAGCCAGACAGCTAAACATGTTTGCGGTTGCAGACCAGTCAATAAACTGAAATAGACCCCATTGATAAATACGCCCACTTCCGAAATTTAGGAAAAATACTCACAAATCTCCAAGGTGTATGAGACATACATCAAATTAAAGCTTATTCATCATCTTTCAATTTCTGTTATTTTTTTTTGTGGGGGTGGGGGTTAATCAATGACTTTTGGGAGAAAATTCCATCCAAAGATGATCACCCCTTAAAGTAGTCCCGAAGCCCATCGCCATTTTGAAAAAAATTATGACTGCGCTCCATTTCAAAATAGACTGAGCAATTTTGGGGCCCAATTTCATCAGAATTTCACAGAAATACAGCTCGCAGTCTTGGTCATGGCTTCACCCTTTTCTTTACAAAAACCCTCAAATTCATGGCCTACAAAATGCCCACATGGCACAATTAGTTATTCATGTTATCTTTTCAGAAGAAAAATGGGTGATGAATGGAAGATTAATTCCGAGCAAAATCAAACACCTGCACGATGCCCGGTTCATTAATGAATGCATTAATTCGAAAATGTACAAATATTATGTGACAAGATAATAAGTAGCAAATAAAACAAATTCAACGAGTACAAACAATTAAAACATTTATTTAAATCAAGGAGAATATTTCAATACTTGGTGCAAAATAATATGTAACAAGAAATACATCTTGCGACTGAATTCATGTTATATATAAAAGTCGATATCGCATTATATTCAGCTGAATTCTTGGTTCGTGGGTTTTACACCAACATTTTTAAATCTGGACTTTCTGTTCTCGCAGAATGTCAAATATTGGCGCAGCGTGGCATGAAATGTTCACGAAATTGCATTGTCCGTGTTATGAGCGAGAGTTCATGCTCAACCAACGGACGTAGTGTGAATGAATTATAAAGACTATTGCCAAACGCTTTCTCTATTTATTATGAACACCAAATTGTCATACAATCTGTCTTTGCACAGCCGAGATCAGCGGTGCGTTATCTGCCTCGCTCCTTCCATAAGAAAGTAAAACAAATTAACCCTTCATATAACTAGTCGGTATCCGATGATAAACAACGTCTCTTTAGAGGGGGGGGGGGGGGGGGCTCATGCCATATTTTCAATGGGGAGCGCAAATAAAATCCTAAAATCATTCACACTATATTAACTAATGCACCCTTGTCACGACAATTTCTTTAGGGGGAAACCGTTCGCATGTACATAACAATCCTTCTTTTTGCTAATGCAATTTTTTTTTTACGGAATTTATTTTGGGGGCTAGACAACATTTTTTTTTGGGGGGGGGGGCTACAGCCCCCCCCTAGCCCCCCCCCCCCCCCTAGAACCGCGCCTGGTCTCCAGACCGCCAAAATTTAGTGGTGTTTTTATGTTTATTAATTATTTTTTTACAGGTGTGGGTCACAGGAAACCCTAAATGTCTCACATTTCTGGAGGAAATGTTGACAAATATTCCGCTTAGTGTAATTTTGATCCAAATAATTTTCCAGATGTTATAAAAAATTTGGGGAATATCAAAACTATGCACCATTGTGATGTGTAAAATGATTTCTCGAAAATGTTGTGTTGATTGGCCATTTTGTTCACATACGGTTTTCAGACCAGTTGAACGATTTCAAATTTGAACTTTAGAGAACAAGAATACTTTTTGTTCACGAAAAAAATAAAAGTGCCCCTTTTTCAACGTTACACATAAAATGCTCGGTAATCCTGACCAGAAATAGTCATTTAGTCTGATTTGCAATTGCACCTCACGGACCCCAATATGCCTTGTCAGTTTGACTGTTGTTGTTTAATACATATGCCTAATTAACGTTTCCATTTTTTAAAGAGTGCATGTGCCATTTTCTACCCTCCATTCAAGTCGGGAAATGGTATTTATTTTGTTTAATTTAGATTTATTTTAAAGAACTGCATGACATCAATCTCTCCTCTCCCATTTCAACGTTGTTTCTAAATATTTCATCATTTCATATTTCCGATTTCTGTTCAACTATTGCAGTATCTTTTAGATTTAAGCTGGAAATCGGTACCAAAAATCACTCCAAAATACCTCAAATGAAACTGCAAATTAATCTTTGGACCTTCCAGGCAAATTGCCTCATATTATTCCAAATTCCATCATCACCCCTCTTCCCAACGATTGGCGAATAGCAAGCACAATAGCCAGACCTAAATGGTCCTAACAACTATTGATTAAATCTACGTTCATCTCCGCGGTGCATTCATTACATCGTTCTCATGGAGCAAAAAGAACGTCGGTCTACCGTAACTGACGATTATTAACAGAATATGAAAACGTGCGTGGGTTGAAAAAAATGTTTTTAGAACACAAACTAAACGGCATATTTGTACAGTTTGAACAGCAGGCCCGCAAAAGGCTTAGCCTATGCCCTGACACAGTGCCTTATTTAATATCAAAAAGTATTTTGAGAAAATTAAATACACACTGCTCTCCTATGAAATTTCTTGATGCAGACATGGATGAACAGAGCTATGCGTGCAACGTTTCAGAGGTCATGCAATGCATTATCCATCCACTGTATTTTATATGCCGTGATATAAAATTAGCATTTTGCAAAAAATTCTCATTGCAAAAGCACAACTATTCTTCATCGTAATTTCATTACTCCTTATGAACCAACGTATGATTAATACTCGAATCAATCTGAACATATTTGCACGGAATCTCCATATTATCACACAACGAACAAAGACTCATTTTTGCTGTTACTTTTCATAATAGTGGCGCACCCAATGGAGGGGGGGGGGGCTCTTCTTCTTTTTTTGGTCAATTTTGATCCCTTCAAGTTTGACCGTGGTGATAATTATGTATGTGGCCTATTTTCGAGTAGCATAATTATAGGATGTAAATGGCGCCAGCAACGTCAAAACAGTCCGTCCCCCCCCCCCCATTTTGTTTTTAAAAACCCTTTTTTTTCTGCAGCCAAAAAATCTGGGCAACATTTTGTTTTAAAAATTAAAATTTCTTTAAAAAAAACTGTGAGCACCCCAAGCCAAATCCTGGCTGCGCCAGCGCCACTGAGGCTTATAGGTTAATAATATATAGGCTTACCGCGTAAGATTCACGCGACCAACACTTATACAGGGAAAATTCTCTCTAAATCAAACAGTGATAAAGGGGACCATAAAATGGCCAAGCCGCATACGGCGGCCGAAGCAATGCATTTACTCAATACACGAATTTGATGGTTCTTAGAATTTAATGTATTACTAGCTATGAGTAGTTATGTGCCACGCATTTCAACATGTTTATTACGGCTGTGCTTCTCACGACAACTGCTTTTGTTTCATCAACCGCTTTAAGATATATAGGCCTATGGTAATTTTTGGATTAAATGTAATACCAAAATATTATGAAATATCTACTGGACTGTTAGTGAATAACAGTCTAAAACATTCTGTAAAATCGTGGCACCTGGTGTGCTGTCATTTTCAAGAAAAGTGGTATTTTCGTATCAATTTCCAACGCTGGTCAGCCGACCAGCGTTGGGAAAAAAGGTTTTTTTTTCTTCAAATACTGCCCCACTGAATTTACCATATTTAGTTAGTCGGCATTTTGTTTGCAATCGATTACATACCTATGAACGGGTACAAGCCAGCTAAACTACTTCCCTGACCTTACAATTCCCCGACGTCTATAAATTGCTCCGTTTCATCTTAAGTGGGGTCAGGGAACCAGACTACAGGAGCATGATTGTTTTTTTCTTTGTTTTTCCAGCATCTACGAACACAAAACATCAAACAAGTCAGTGTACTAATATTTGCTATAAATACCCCCCCCCCCAAATCTATCCATTTCTGAAAATCACAGCAATAACAAATTTTGTATATTCCCTTTAAAGATTGAACTGGTGACCCCGTGAAATTATTCCGTCTGGTTTGCTGTCATTTCGAAAAAAATCTAAACATGGTGATTTCCACTGATCAGTCAATGGTCTGATTTTTGAAATAACGAGTTCTATTGACAAAATCGTGTTTCCAGATCAAAAGGTTGTGCACGTTTTCACTGTTTTCTCGAAAAGTGTAATATTCACTGGGCTAAACTTAAACAGGGTAGGTTTTGAACGTTCTTCTTTGGATTTTGAGTGGTGTTATTATTGGAAACGAATTCAATGCATGAAAAGCAAAATGATCTCACATGCATTTAAGTCAACCCCTTTCAGACGAAAAAAAACCCGACTGTGCATTATTTTGTGCATTTGTGTCTGTCCACTGGTGTATTTTAATTGAATTCGGCATTTTGGTTTGAAAGCAGAAAATGTACCATCAAACACAAATCAATTAAAATACAGAGGAAGATGTTTCTATTTCTCAACAACTTTCGTCTCAAAATCATATCCATTGCAAGTGTTTGCACTTTGCACTGAAAAGGCTTGCATAATTATTGAACATCAATATTACAATATTGATTGTGAATAACCCACTTGTCTTGTTTGCCCGCGCCTGGACGAAAACATTGGAAATCCTGCATGCTATTCAGATTATGTCAAAAAGAACCGCTGACTTTTTGACTGACTAGACTAGACTTGTGTCAAAGGGCGGATCCAGAACACAATCTTTTTGGTGGGGGGCTAAATAATGTTTGGTCTCCAAAAAGTGGGTCCAACAAATTACGGCTTTCGATTTTTTTTGGGGGGGGGGGATTCTAGATGCTCTGTGGTGCGATCTGAGGCAATCTCTGACCACTTTAACCATTTTTTTGGGAGGAAAGGATGGTGGTGTAGGCCGTATACGCAGCCTGCTTGCCTTTATTTAGTGCTTTGTCACTTAAAAAAATAGGTTTTTTTCTGGGGGGTGGCCCCCGCTTGTCCCCCCCCCATCCTCCCTTGGTGTCCATGCACTACATAACAAAATAATAAAGTTGAAGGGCCGGTTAGTGAACTTGAATTACAAGAAGGGCGGCTTGGCCTATGGGAAACTAGGCGGCCAACTGGGACCATCCCCCTCCCCTCAGAGTGTCTTTAAAACAATATTTAGTACTTAAACCGCAAGAGAAGTGAATACTATTGAAGTCGACTCATCCCCTTTCTCTAAGGATTTGTAAAACAAGAGATAAGAAAAAGGAGGAAACATGAGCGCGCCCTGCCTCCAGCGTGTTAAGCCCCTCCTCTCCCCTCCCCCACTTTTGGATTGTGCAACGGACAGCTGGCCGGTTGGCCCCGAGGTGTAAAAATGCCAAGTCCCACATATTCTGTTTGTCGTACATGAAGCATTTTGCATTAAGAAAAAATATTTTTGAGATGGACATTAGTTTTCCCCGACTCGGCAACAGAAATGCACTGTGATAATAAGGCAAAAGGTTGTTGACGAAGAGGTTATAACTTATTTTGTGCATTTCGGCAATTTAAAGTATGTTGAACGAATCGATAAAAAAAGGTATAATGCATCTCTTCATGGGAATATTGGTACAACTCCCTTTACATATATCATGCTAGCAAAATGTTCCGTTCCAGTGATGTTATAATTTTGTCAAATCTTCGTCCGTTCTACTTGCATTTATTTCGGTTTTATTGTCGTGACATCCGATGAAGATGAACAAAATGGCGGCCATCGTACAAGATGGTGGTATATAGACAACATAGGGATGAGCGAATTACATCGCAAATTGTACACGACGGTCACAATTTCAGTGGGTTATTTCTAGGCCTACCGTACATTTCACACATTTTAATCAGGTCAGACTTAGAAAATACATTTTGGTCAGATTTCCCGCCAGATGGTTGTAACCGATCAATACTGTGATTCGTTGACATTTGCCGTTGCAGAACAAGATGACCCTTTTCCCCATCGACAAATCCTTCAAGAACCCGATCCAAGGAAATCATCCTCATCAACAATCTCTGAAGATTTTTAACGACCAAAAACAATGACACAGAGAAGAAGTGAAACAGAATATTAACTCACCTTTTAGATGTATTCCGTTTTATAAATTCCAACTGTTTATCTGTCGACACAAAAAGGGCTCTCTGCAATACTGGAAAATTCGGCGTAGATGATAATAATATTCAGCAATGACGTGACGTGCATGTGACGGGGGACAGAAACGGCGCACAGAAGATGCTAATTATTCACGCTAGACTGTGGCGGTAAATATCCCCAGAGATCGAATGACGTCAGAATACACATAGCCTGGGCTAGCGATCTCGGCCCCGCACGATGCAATAACTGGCATCCCAATCTAATGAGCAAAAGCTAGATGGATATTAACATCAGCTCCGTATCGCCGCTTCGCCACCACTGACTGCTTATGATTATGCTCACGAGCAATTAAGAACGGAGGTCTACGTAGATGTGGCCATAGTGTCTTCACGCAAGAAACACATGTGTGAGGACCGCAACGAACGAACCGCAACGTCAGCGATCGTGCAAACAGCTCCCGTAATGATGGGTTCGTGTGGGTTGAGCTATTCACGATTCTACCATGGTAACGTCAGTGGGGAGAGAAGAGACAGAGGAGATGGGTTGCTATGGCAATGTGCATTGTTGGTATTTTCTTCATATAATGGGGAAAATTATAGCTGCACAGTCATCCAACCGTGGCAACAGAACGAAATTTATTGACAACTAGCACTTTGCCCTTTTAAAAGCTATTGGTATGGCACTTTGTCATATAAATTTAAAACAGTTGAGTGTGTTCTGACTCCGATGGGTTTTGTTTTATTTCGTGTCGCAGCAGCCCAGTCGCCAGCTCCGGGCATGGTGGGGAGGGGAGCACAGTACCAGCTAGAGGAGCACACCACAAGAAGAAAAAAACACAATTGTAGAAAACTGTTCGCTTGTGACTTTTGCTGATGGGGGCGGGGGGGGGGCAGTTGCTCGTCAGGGTTGGGGGGGGGGGGCTTCTGGCTTCCCCCTTAGCGACGCAGACTGTGGGAAAGACGGTCCGGTGGACGAACAAAATAACGACCGAAATAAAGGCAAAAATACATAAGCAAATCTTGAGAATGAAATAAAGGATTTTCAATTTCAAATTATTTATAAATTATGACACGCACACGCAGCATAAATTATTGAAGTTCGTAAAAAATGCATTATTCAATTCCAACGACCATATCAAATTATACCCAAGTGGGTAAATATTTGTTTCTGGATGTTCCCAAGGTAGGCCTAGCCTCGGCGGAAATGAGAATTTCTCTAATTACTGAAATCGAATATCGTCGATTTGCAGGGCTGAGACACTAGTCGAGTATACATGTCCATGAGTACGATACGAGTACCCAAAAATGTACTCTAGTACGAGTACACGTACTACCGCTACGAGTACCGGGTATACCTTCCAAGAGTAGGAGCAAAATATGGTACACGGCGTGTTGTCAAGGGCTTTCTGATGTCAACTAGGCATTAAACAAATGCAAAAGCCTTCCGCCCATGTACCTCTTCAACAAATTTAAATTGGGCTTGATCTGATACACCGTGTCCTCTGGAGACATGCACACAGTAGGGGAAAAAAAGATTGTATACGTCTCCACAGGGCAATTTCTATTGATGAATAGGTTTTCAAGACATAGATATATATGGATTTTACTCAAAAACTAGGAATTTCCAAGGTGGTTTGATCCGTCGCAAATGGTAGAGTTTTAGAAAAGGGATATTAAGTCCAAATTTCAGCCAAGGAAATTAATTCTGGTTAAAATAAGAGCATTTTGAAACTGTACTTTCAAACTCGAAAACTTTAGTACACGAGGACAATGAAATGTCTCCACAAGGATACAAATTTCAGTATGTGGGTGCACGAGAATATTTGCAAGAGTACAAGTACTTTGTCATGAGTACGAGTACGGGTAAGTTTTGAGTTGCGAGGTCGAGTACGAGTACCTACACGTGTACTAAAAAGTGTACTCGAGTAGGACAACTACAACAATGTGATGCGCTGAACTAAAATGTCAGGTTTCTTATTGCAAGTCTTTGCAGAAGGACACACTTTATTTCAAGTATATAATACAAGTCAAAGCCACGAAGGATCATTTTGCAATTACTCGGAAATTACTTACCGATTTAATGACAGAAACCTTGCACCAAGTGGAGACAGGACTGGTATCAATTAAATATAATGAATGACTCCGTCTAAAATGCTACTGTTGGGAAGAAAAGTAACATTCAGGGTTACTTTCAGGGTTACTTTCAAGTTTATAGCGACGGAATCCAGTAACAAGACCCAAAAAGTTGCGCATACGTTTTCTCCGTTTTCTCAAAATATATAAACGAATTAAATAGCATCAACTGAGCTGAAACCTTATAACAGTTTAATGCACCCACTTATGATTTTGAGCACTTTTGATGCTTCAGGTACATGTATGGAAAAAGCAAATTATTCTATACGTACCCTTAAATTAACATAATTCTAAGACATATTGGAGACACAATGTACATTGTACACTATTCAGAGATAAAGTGCACTATAATGTATTAGTTCTATTGTACAACTGGCCACTGATGTACCGTTTTAGAGGTGATCCTAGTGCAAAGATGCCGTTAGAGGGCGCTGTCAACATGATCCACTCACGAGAAATAAATTTGGGTGCAGACCTGTAAATAAATCAGCGTGTGCACTAATGAGACATATCCCCACTTACCCCCCCCCCCCTCCCAAAAAAAAATCAAAGGTTTTCAGGATATAATTATTCTGTTCATTTTTAAGGGGGGGGGGGGTAAACTATTGTTGTGGATGATTTTTCTCTCCAAAGTCTGATTACCCCTAAATCAGACCTCAAATACAATCATTTGTCATTTTGAAGGAAAAAACCCTTTCGGGTCCAATTTCATTTAAATTTCCTGCACAGAAAACAAGCTCAAAGACCAATGCAGAGCTGGTAACCTTCTTCAACCAACCCTCATAATAAGGGACCACAAAACTTTCCATGAAGAGAAAGATTGACAGTACAAATAGTGATTTGGTCGGCAGAGGCAATTTTGGCCAGTGGCGTAAATCTGTGCCGGTGGGGGGGGGGGGGGGGGGGGGGGGGAGGGGTGGGGGGGAGGGGTGGGGGGGGGGGGTGGGGGGGGGTAGGGGATGACCAAAATCCAAAAATTGCCCGGCCGTGGAAATTTCGAAAAGCGGGGGGGGGGGGGGGGAATTGCTGGACACCACATTACACTAGGGGCGAACTTAAAACTTTTGCACTTTTTTTCACAGTTTTTCAGTGCTATTGAATACATTTTGGTTGTTGGGAAGTTCGAAAAATACCTCAACATCGGCCCTTTTTTGAGGGGGGGGGTTCTTACAACGAAAAAGTGGGGGGAGTGATCAAAAATCCCACCCCCTGCCAAAACGTGGGGATCTATACCCCCACCCCTCCCCGGATTTACACCCCTGATTTTTAGCCTTATTACCGGTCTGCACCCTTATAAAAGCCTCAAAATAATACAGACCATTATGCCGACATGATAGCGAAATACCGCCCTCTTTCGTTAATGGTCGGAGCAGCCACCCGATCGTTACGGCGGAAAACTGAGATATGCGGTCTGATTGGTCAGTTGTATCGTTTAAAATTAATTCTCCCAGAAAAATACCTTTAAGGAATTCAATAATAAAACATACTGTAGTAGACATTTGTGTCCAACCAAAAATAATTCTTCATCGCCGACTTATGCAGCCGATGTTCTGCGATGAGTGCGTCTTTTTTTTTTTTTTTAAGAATAAGTCGACTCTGTATTCTTACCGACTGGTTTTCAACATCTTCTTTATTGCGGCATCAGATTTAATGGGTAAAGACCACCTATCATTATATTCCAGTGAAATATTAATGTAGTCACATTTGAAATCACAGCGTTAATCTTTCCATAATGTACAAGATAATACAATAATTATTTAAAGAATCGGCAAACCGTATACAACTAACACAACTGAACAAAGGCCGTTATTTTATTACAAACTAGTTATTCTCAATCTATTTACAGCACATAATATTTATAGCACCACACATGGAGCATTTCGGGCTACCGAATTAAATTCATGTACACGCAAAATTCTTTCAGTACAATACATGTATAGAGGAATCAAGCCTGTGATCACTGTACATCAAGAGGCCCCCTTTAATGGCGAAAGCATTGTGCAAGCCACTGTACAAACTGCTTTCGCCATTTTGAGGGGGCATCCGTAATAGAAGTGATAGCGTGCCCGGATTGGTATAACATACGTCGTGCTCTACGCGCACGTCCATACAAATGCTTCTCTACAGTGCCTTGGCCTTGTGGTGTGTGGAGCATTGAAATCGTGGTCTGCGTTTATTAGTTTTGCAGGTTGTGGGTTCGAGTCCAGCCTGGGTTTATGGTGCGAGTGCACTTGGGCAAGGCACTTTGCCACTCATTGGTTCTCCCCGCCCAGGAGTAAATGGGTACCCGCACCTGTGAGGGCAGAGATGGTTATCGTGACTGATTTTAGCTGCTTTGCGCCGAAATGGCAGCATCAAGCTGATTGTCTTTGGAATGTGTCATTGGCCCAGTGAGCAGGGTAATGATGTAGCGCCTTGAGCACCAATACTGGTGGATAGGTGCGTTTTGTGAATACGCATTATTAAAAATATTTTTTGCGTAGAATAAAAACCATAACTGCATTTCGTACCAGGTTCCAATAAATAAATAAAATTGTCTCCTCTCTTGTAATGCAAAACTGACCCCCCTCCCCCCCAAAAAATACACCTCTCGCATTAACAAGATTGTGCCCGTCTCGAGATGGAAAATTGGCCATCAATTTAAACAATAGTTAGTGTAGGGAGACTTTTCCATAGACTTGTGCACAAAATTTGTCAAATTTAAATGTGCCCTAACTCAATATTCTCTCGTTTTATTTCAACGAATTTCGTATGTTTACTAATTAGACCACGAGCAACAAATATAACCTAATTGAGACAGTACAATTTTACCTCTAAAGGGGGGCTGTGCCATTAGGGAGACAGTTATGCATCTCCCTAATGACCGGTGTCTCCATATTATCGAAGAAATTACGATAACGTGTCTCTCTAAAGGTACATTTAGTAATATAAAAGAAACACAAGGAGCAAGAGGGCCAACGTATTCATAATTTGTTGCTCCTCATTTTTTTAGCGAAATAAACGGGACCTGTGTGTGTGTTTTTGTTCCACAGGGATACGCATGTGTAGCCTAGCTATCTTGTTCATTCAGTTTATGAATTAACATAAAATATACCGCGAAGCTTACTGCTACCTCATTTATATCTCATCTCTGCTTGGAGTTTTTCCTCTTGATTTTTCTCCCAACACAATTATGGGATGAACCCTGAAATTATCTCACTAAAAATGCTGTCAGGTAAAAACCTTTACTCAAAGCCATAGTTTTGTCAATAACTCAAAAACATTGATTTCGGCTGACTAAAATCGTGAGGTCATCGAACTATGGTCATTATTGACTTAGGCCCAATTACTGAAACGCCGGTTTCATCTTCCGTCTTCGGCTGCAGCTTGGGAAACCCCTTGGTGTTTACTGGGCCTAGATTTAGGATTCGGTTCCAGCCGCAAACCATAGGCATGAGGAAAGAAAACCAGAGGGTGTGTCTTCAATAAATGAGTGGGGCCTGGTTTAGTTTAGACTGATTCAAGAGCACCGTTTTTGATGTGGGATATTTTCTGTTTGCGTTCCACCATCCGGTCCAATAAGAAGAGCAGCCAATCCAGGAAGTCGTTGATGACGTCATCCTCTGTGATGCCGTTGGGAATCCTGTCGTCGCTGGTGCCAGGGCGAAGGGTACCTGCGGTCTGGAAAGAAAATAAACATGGAAGAAGGTTTTACACATATTTGTTGACCATGTGTCCATAAAAACAGCTGGAATGCTAACCAAAGTCTGTGCTTAAAGTTCCAAGCTTGGCCCTCTTTCATGACTCTGCTAAATTTTATGACGTAAATCTCGGCTTTTTCAGTGCTATAATAACGCTAATAACCACTTCGTTCGTGAAATACACCGACTGTCATCGTAAATAAGCACACTTCTTCTTTCGTTTGTCGGGTAGACAGATTCAAATATCAACTTGCAGATGGGTCAACCATAATTTGGTCTCCTGGTCCAAGTTAGTTATAGACCGTCTGCACCATGCGGAGAATGGTAGATGGGGCAATGGGATAGAATATAGAGTCGTGATATTGGACCAAATTTATGTTTGAAAGCTCTTGTGCCTTACATAATATTTATTGCGAATTCGAAAGAATAAGTGATATGAAAAAAACTTGCTGCAGTATTATTTTAAAGCTTTCCAAAAGACAAATTGTATAATATATTTGTAGTAGTCCTCAATAGTTGTCGGGGTATTGCTGGGGAAAACACGACAATAATTGTGTTACTTTTCAATATTTATCTCCTTTGAAGATGGATATCTCTTTTCAATCTACTTTTACAGTCGTTGTATTTGATGTTGACTCGTCGTCACTGTCATCGAATCCACAGTTGAGCTTTAATAGTTGTTTCGATATGATTGTCGTGTTGTGTCGTGTCGCGTCGCGTTGTGTCTTGTGCTGTGCTAAGTGTATGGCGCATTCTGTGTACTGTGCTGTGATTTGCGCTGGTTGCATTGTCGTTTTGTTATGCGTTACTTAGAATTCCGAATGACAAATTTAGCTTTCTGATGGTTTACCTGCAACAGGTAATATTTGCTAGCCATCGACAGCAGTAAATTTAAGCAATATAGGCCCATTCCCCAAAGATAACAGTACACCACAGTACAAACAGGTTCCCACTACAATCAGAAAATGCCTGGGAAAAAATGGAGTCATTATTGCTCAGTCACGAATCTTGTGGGCTAAAATTGCTAATAAAATCACTACTGCTGCTCGTCCGGCGGATTTTTCTACGCCTTCGAAATACTTGTGATTTGTGTGCCTTGCATGTCTTCAGGGAAATTTTGGTTTGTCATCCTACTGCTGATAAATTTCCCGGAGGATCTCGGGAGAGAGTTGGGCGTGTATCCATTCGTTTATAAGTTGCAGTTGAATTGTATGTCTTTGGGCGTGAAAACAAATTTGAAAAACTAAGTGGAAGGGAACGAATGCTCCTGTGGTTATGCCGCTTGAAAAGGCAAGGAGTCACTCTTAATTCGCCGATATTTGTTTGTGAGACCGATAGTTTAACACAATAAATCAACAGCATGTTCTCTTTACAGAGGACCATTAATGATCAAAGTCCAACATGTTTAGACGAAAATGCCTAACTCAGGCATCACGCAACTGATGTTTTCTTTTGAATATAGAAAGGATTTGGTCTTAAGCTTTGGTTTGAATGTAATATCTAATTTCGTTATTTGTGCACTGCATATTTACACACAGTGAATGGAGAAAGAAGTCTTGGAGCTTTAGATCAGAAAAGTCAGAAAAAAACAGCACGCCTTGATATCCAGGGCGTCCTGAAAAAATGGTGCATGTAAACCTCTCCATGGATGTTTACACCATCTTCAAGGTAATAGATTAAGCTTGAGAATACCGTTTGTTTTATTGAGATTGCTTTTGTAAATCCAAAGATAATTATGTTTGAATAACGGCAAAGCCAAGAAACCCATTTTGTGCCACTTTCTGTGAAGCAGTTAAAATCAGTATAGGCCTTGTCCTAGTCTAAAACCTAATGACTTTACTGTTGGTGATTTTTAACATTTTTAAGCAGAGTGTGCAATATTTATTTATATTTAATTAAACTCTTTCATTGAAGTTTTGAAGAAGTGAACCTGTCTGTACTATTAAATTGTTTTAATATAAGAACAAAACCATATATTGTCGTGTGAATGGAATGCTTGTCTTACACCCATAGGGATAATCTTATCAAAAGAGCCATACTGGCATTGTCTGATCTTTGAAGCACTCGCTTCCTAAAAGTGGCACAGAATGGGTTTTTTTGGCTTTGCGGTTATTCAAACATATCTCTGGATTTACGAAAGCAATCTTAATTAAACAAACGGTATTCTCAAGCTAAATCTGTAACCTTGAAAATCGTGTAAACTTTTGCAGTAAATTCCGGTTGTAAATTGGCGAAAATGGCGGGGTTCTCAAGCACCATTATTTTCAGGACACCCTGTAGATTTCTATTCTGAGGTCAGAAAGATTGCGATTCTCCAAGGAAACTTGGAGTACGTGTTTTGATATAATGAAGACAACAGCAGTCTTCAGTACGCCTTGATTCACCTCGTCTCCATACGGCTTACCCTATTCTGTTCGTCGATATTGCTAAAAGGCCCTGGAGACAAGGACGCTTATACCCTCTTATCCCCCCCCCCCCCAAAGAAGAGTGGGCATGCGCGGAATTGGAACGCGCGCAGTGGTCCAATGGAGAGTCAAACCGCGGGAAACTCTAAAAGGTCAGACGCGCCATGCTGCCTTTTGTCTTGCCTTGCGCTAATGCATGTGTTGATCTGTTACCGTTAAGCTTTCCTTTTTCGGTTTCTAAAGGCTTACAATAGATTCAAGATAGATTTTTTTTGCAAACCTTTTCAACGGCAACAGTGTCTAAATTAGCACCTCCTCCTTGCACCTGAACTGGTACAGTTTCCCCGCGTTCCATCTCAATGGGCTCTGGGCTCTTTCCTGCGGCGTGCGGAGAAACCCCAGCAGGGAAAGACTTCTCCGCGTCACTGTGGGTCGAGTCTGCACCTCCATCGGCGGAAAGAACCGCGGATAGCACGTTGCTCATGGGTGAATCCTCCTGACGATTTTTGAAATCGAGGTCATTTTGGACGTCAGCCTCACCCTCCTCTCGAATAAGATCATCCTCGGCTTCTTGTTGAGGCTTCAGAGAGTTCTGGTCCGTGTCCGATGCCACCAGCCCCAGGTCTAGTTTCTGGACGTCACTGTCCGAAGGCTGTACAACGCTCTGGGAATCTTGTCCTTCCGAAGGTTGGGCATCCGTCCATTTCGGGCCTGTATTTGAGCTTTCAATGTCCGAGGGCATACTGCCAAAGACGCTATGTGTGATGGAGGGATCGATTACCTCACTGATGAAAGTTCCCCCACCGAGAGGATCGTAGTCATCCGAGAAACCGGTCTTCGTCTCTAAGGAGGAGGAAGACGACACGGGCAGAAATTTACCCCAGTGCGAGTCGTCGTAAGTGGCGTACGGGTCGTCGTGATCCGGGCGGTCCGCTCCGGGGAGTGGAGCTCCCCACGACCGCTTTGGCTTCTTGGAGCCTCCCGCTCCGCTGGGACGTCTGTCAAGGACTCTAACCATTCCTGAAGATGGGTATGCTTCTATTCTTCTCTGCGCAATATCAACGGCATTCTCCAGTGAGTCGAGCTCCTGTGCTGCATCGGTAATGCGGGGCTTTTGAGCGAGCGGGAGGGTGTCGCAACCACGCCCAGCTAGAATCAATACCAGGAGGAGACTCAGCCATGCTGCCAGGAAGGTACTCTGTAACACGGACAACCGCATGCTTGCTGGTCAGACGATATAGATGTCGGCTTGAAAAGAAGACTAGTCTATACATTAAGGAGACAAAATGAAAATAAAAAAGAAACCTTAAAATGTCATGATTTCATATTAACCTTTTCATCATTGATAGTAACTCTTACAAGGAATTTGGATACAGAACAGACCTTTTCTGTCAAAATCTGACATAACCGTTACTTCATTGATGCACAAGAAAAGATGGCTCATCGAGCACTCACCAAAAGCCAATGGGACATTAAATTAATGAAGCCCCTCTTTCAAATCTCTTATCAAAATGGGGGAAATCAAGCGATTTTCCTTGGTTATTGATAATGGAGTTTCCAGTGCATGGGTTGCAGGAACAAAACCTATACACTGTAGTTAGATTTTTTACTAGAAAACAGTCAATCTTGCACCCAGCTGACTACAGCCCGTAGAGTTAGCTGGGTGCAAGTTTGTTTTCCAGTCATATCTAGAGTACTTTCAGGTAGTGTATTACGCAACCGTTTACACACAAAGTTTGGGGCCGGGAAAATCTAAATCAGGCAACTTTGAATCACTAGTATATTCTCCCGAAGCCTTAATGTTAAGCGCCAAAGATCATTTTGTAAGCGCATGGAACATAGCTGGCACCATATAAACAACAGTGTGTAGGAAGGATACATGTACATTGTACATTGTACAGGGTAAATAAAAAAAACCACGAAACGCAAATGTAGGGACTATTGTTTTAGTGAAGTTCTTCATGTAGCACTTTGAAAATCTAGCATATGAAAGCCCAATTCATAAGCTTTCTTTAAGTACAGGAATCATTAAAATCACTCATGTACTTTTCAAGTTACGGAATTTTAAACACAACCACCGTTTTTGTTTGCGTGTGAATTGTTTTCGTTTTGCTGAAAGAACGCACACTTTTTTTGGTGACTCGTGGACAGAACTTTAAAACGGTGGTTGTGTTTAAAATTCCATAACTTGAAAAGTACATAAGTGATTTGAATGATTCTTGTACTTAAAGAAAGCTTATGAATTGGGTTTTTATATCCTAGATTTTGAAAGTGCTACATGGAGAACTTCACTAAAGCAATAGTCCTGACATTTGGGTTTCGTTTTTTTTTTACTCACCCTGTACTTGACTCAGTTTTGCTTACTGCTTATAAGTCGAGTATCAAGCATGATCATATTTTGCCCATATTGGAAAGTTTATATTATTTTTCACCAATAACAGTGCCTTCGGGCGTGCCTCGGCGAAAAAAGTACATAAGTTACGATCTTATTAATGAGACATCGAACAAAAACTGTTGGCTCACATAAAAAAAAACGTTTTCGCAGAGTCCCGTGCACCAATCCACGCGCATAAAATAATGAAAAACAGTTCAGAAGACCAAGCACATAATAGTAAGAGCTTTTCTACTTCAATAATACAGCCACTTTAATCATTCTTTACCGAGCAGGAATACAATTTAATTGGTTTTTGCAGGAAAGCTCTGCATAAATTGAAAGCTTTAATCTTAGACCATAACCAAGGCAAGTTAATTACTGCAGGATACAATATCAGTAGTAACGTTTTTCTCATTTACAAATGACGTGATTAATTTGCAACAGTATTGTTTCAAGCAAAGTTGTTCCTGACCACAACGGTTGCCACTTGGGAAATGAAGAGAAAACGTTCTCATTACCGATAATGGTGAGGCATGGTAATTCAAGCCTTTTGCTCCGGAGATGGAGAAATTTGCTCGACAAAAATAAGTATCACGTATCAACGTTTCTAAGATGAATGTTTCTTGATGAGCGCATTAGGTATTGGTTGTGTTTTGCTGGGGGCTAATGCTCATTTATTACAATAGCATCCTCTCAAGACTGAAAATGAGAATCCTGACTTAAAGTTCCACTGTCAGGAAAGCTGCTCATCCTTGTTTCTTGGACACCAATCTTTCTGCAGTGTCGTCTTAACTTGAAAGTTTATCCGAAGTCAGAGAGTTGTTACGCAGCGAATATAGAAGGAAAAAGTGGATAAATTCGAAATCGGAAATTGTCCGTGCTCTGCTGAAAAAAAGTCAAGTTTAATAAAGGAATGAAGGAATACATTGGTAAATTACCCTGAAACGCACCGACAGATTTAATGAGAAAAACCTTGCTACAAGTGAAGATAAGGCGTGACCCAAATACCATGTGATATTATTCTGCCATAATTAATGATTAATTAAAGCGTATTTATAAAGCGCACGTATCCACCATTATTGGTGCTCAAGGCGCTACATCATTATTACCCTGCTCATTGGGCCTGTGATTCCAAATACCATCTCAGCTCCCTGGTGAGTATACAGCTCGATGCTGCCATTTCGTCATAAAACAGCTAGAATCAGTCACAATAACAATCTCTGCAATCCCGGGACATACCGTTATTTCGTTTTACCGTTTTGGATTTCCTCAAAAACAAAAACAGTAAACGCACCGTTGACCGTTTTTTTCGTTTTACAGTTTTGTAAAACGGTCAAACGGTATTAGGTCACAATAAACAATGACCTTTTTGTTGTTTTTCTTAATTGTTAAAAGCGATAAACGGTTAGTTGCTTCATTTCAGAGTGTTTTTTTACAAGAACATGACAATAAAAAAACGGTCAATAGTCCAGTCGACCATTTTTTGATTTAGGTTCGGCAATTAAGCAATGCACCTAGGAATGTTAATGCGTCCATGGGATCGAGTCATTGTCTGGGACCCAAATTGCCCTCCTTACAAATTTCGTTCTCACGACATAGTTTTCGAACTGGCTATTGAAGAGCCGCGCCGAACTCCAATTTCCTTCAAATATCTGCAACTTCTTCAAACGTATTACCATCCTGTATCCATTGTAAAAAGTAATGTCCTCCTTGAAGTTTTCCAGCGCCATTTTTGCTTGCAACTTTTAAGCCCCACCAACTGAATCGCATGAGAAGGGGGTCAGGGTCACGCCAGGAATCACACTACGCATTATGCCGAGGTAACACTTTTTCATGTCAAGGGCGGATCCAGAACACAATTTTTTGGGGGCCAAAAAAAATTTTGGTCCCCCAAAAAAGTGGGCCAAAAAAATTACGGCGTGGGGTTCGGGGCCCGCTTAAGGGCCCCGAATTTTTTTTGGATTCTAGATGCTCTGTGGTGCGATCTGAGGCAATTTCTGACCACTTTAACCAATGTTTTTTTTTGAGGAAAAGATGGTGGTGTACTCATTGCCTGCCTTTATTGCGATGTCACATAAAAAAAAAAAAATTGGTTTCGTTTTTGGGGGGGGGGGCCATGGCCCCCTTTGGGCCCCCCTGGATCCGCCCTTGTTTCATGTCAAGCATGGTCCCCCTCCACCCCCCTTGCCCACCACCACAAAATGCACCACGGACTTTTCACTACGACACAGAAATAAAAAAAAAAACAGTCTGTATTCAATACTGACTGTTTTGCTGTTTTTTAAAGTTATGTGTGTAAAGCTGTAAAACAAAAATCATTGATCGTTATGCTGTAATGAATTTTATCAAACTTATAAAACAGAGAAACCGTATTTATCTTAATACCGTTTGACCGTTTTACAAAACTGTAAAACGACATAACGGTCAATGGTTCGTTTACTGTTTTTGTTTTCAGGAAATGAAAAACGGTAAAACGAAATAACGGTATGTCCCGGAATTCTCTGCCCTCACAGGTACCCATTTCATGCATTTGCTCCTGGTTGGAGAGAAGCAATGAGTGACAAAGTGCCTTGCCCAAGGGCACACACACTACATGACCCCAGGCTGGACTCGAACCCACAACCTGCAGAATTACCCACAGACCACGAATTCAATGCTCCAGACCACGAGGTCACGGCACTCTTTTCGATCGAAAGAAAATTATCATAGAAGGTTGCTTTGGAAAAAAAAGTGTGCCAGCGGTCACACATTTTTAACGCATGTTAGCAATGGAATCCAGTTACGAGATTCTAGACAATTTGTGCATATGTTTTCTGCGTCTCCTCAAAATGTAGAGTAGCCACTGAGGTAAAACTTCATGTTAGTTGCTATGCATCCTACTTAAGATTTTCAGCAAATTTGTTGCTTCCGATGAAAAAAATTAATGCTCAAAGAGCAATGATCCTATATACCTTTAAAGGTCCCGTCGCAAACGAATTAGGGATGGGAAAAGGGATTTTTGAACGGTCAATTTTGCAAAGAGCTCTCACATACCTCTCGAGCTCCCTTACATCTGCAGTACCACTCATTAAAGGTAGAGTAGGGCCTACATCATGTGTAGCTATCCAAAAAGTAACTGACGAAATTATGTTGAAAATCTTACTTTGTTTAAAGATAGTAATGGCACTAAACTCCCTGTGATATGATTCTTTCTGGCATGCTGTCAATTTGAAGAAAACAACAAGAGAAGGTTATTTCTAAGATGTGTCTAAATGTTTCTTTATTTTTGCGTGTTTAATTCGGCGAATCCGTGAACTGGTGCGCGCGAGTTGATATTATTCGTCAGTTCAGCGCGGGACATCGCGTAGCTGCAATCGCCTGAATGAGAACGTGTCCCGGACGCTGATTTCGGGCGCAATTCAAAACATGACTCGGCAACTTTTGAATTGAAATCAAGTTCCTAAAGAATATCGTTTTCTCGGAATGTAAGCCTACAGCGCTCACTGAGCTAAAACTTCACCAGGTTAGTTGTTAAGCATTTTGAGCACTATTGTCGTTTCAAACGAAAAAAAATAATGCACAAATGACAAACGATGTACTCTACCTTTAATGTGATAATAAATCTGCTTTCGTTTCAACATGCATCAAAAATGAAAGCGAAAGTGTAACAGGCCGGGCGCTGTTTTGAATTTAGTGAAGGATTTGCAACAAAAAAGATACAATTCATTGTTGCTCGCACTGTGCGCGGCTACTTGACCGATTATTCCCGCGGACAATTATCGTTCAGATGATACTCTCTTTATGAATACACGATGTTAGATGATCGTAATCTGTTATTTGGCCTGGGTTTTTGAACGCGAGCCATT